AATATTAATTTGATAATGTTAATATGATACGTAATAATCTTATAGATGACGAAAGACCTTGCACCCAAAATCTCAAACTTTGAACAATCTCGTCTTTCAGGCACTTCCAGTAAGAATATACTAAATGTTAAGGAAATAGTGCGATGGATGGCTCCTGAAATATTAAAACATGAACCATATACATTCAGCTGCGAAATTTTCAGGTAATATATTTTAACTATAGTTTATTTGGGATGTTTAAAAATTATTTGCTTATAGACGTTCATCATTGTAGTTTTGGAATGCTTTTATGGGAATTAGCTTACGAAAAAACCCCTTACCAAGGATTAGATGCTCAAAAAATTTTAAATGACGTTAAAGACGGAAAGAGAGAAAAATTAGATTCTTTACCCAATTTAGTGCGTGATACCAATTTAGAAAATGATGCCAAAAAACTATTTGAAGTCTATCAAGATATAATTCGGGGTGGTATGATTTTTTGTTAATTTTCAATTAAATAATTATAAGGTATGAAATATTTATTGCATTGTCGCGAAACAACGGGCATGGCGCTATTTAAAAAATCGTACCCTGTGAAAGTTCATATGAAATATTTAATAACCTTCTAATCTGGAATACTGTTAGCAAAAATAAAGCAGCTTATCAGAGGACAGAAACTTCATACCTTATGACTATTTTATGTAATGTTTATTTAGTTGCAGCATTATTGTAAGAATTTATCTAACATATTACCGTTATGTTTATTAATAAAGCATGGGAACAAGAACCGAGCTTTAGATTATCTTGGGCACATATTTATCCACGATTTGTTGATCTTAAATCTAATGTGCCTAAGGACCATTTTATAAAATATAATCCTTTAAACACCAAGAAAAGGGAAAGACAGCGCAGTGTTACGGAAGAACGAAATATACAAATAAAACCTATACAATTTGAAAAATTAACTAATATGGAACGACTTGATGAAAAAACTTGTAAGTTAATGCCTCACTCTAGTATTAATACTGCATACCACCGACTACATCGAGAAATTTTAAAAGCCGATTAGAATCGATTAAATCCTAAGGATTTCAAACGATTCTCATAACGACCACCGATTAAAATCGATGGAGATTTTTATCGATTATAATTGATAATAAATATAAACATCGATTATAATCGATTTAATTTAATCGTTTTAAATCTATTTTCGATTTTAACCGATTATTATCAATCAATTTGATTTAAACACTACCAGCGATAATAATCGATTAACTGGTTGTAACCGATTATAATCGGGTTTTAAAATTTCCCGATGTATAATACCCAGGCATTAATTAAAGTGGGTGGTGAATTTCAAATATAAATATAAACCGTGTCTAGAATAATATTGAAGTATTATATCAATTTTCTGAATTATGAATCTATGATCTGCATCAGGAAATTTGATTATTATAATCGACGGTGTTGATAATCGATTCATATCAAAATTGATAATAACGATACTTGATATAAATCAATTAATTATAATCGATTTATTTCTATATATACCGATTATAATCGATGAAAATCCAATCGATTTTAATTGACAGTGGTGGTGAGAATCCTTAGATTTTAATCGATTATAATCTAATTTTAAAGTTTCCTGATGTGTACTTAGACTTTTATATGAGATATTATAACATGTGTACTGTTCATTCATTAATTTCATGTTTTGTCCCATTGTAGACATTGCAAAAAAGGCGCTCAATGAAGAAACAGGAAATTTCGTTGTTTGCAAAGAATTTGATAATAAGGATGATGAATTTATGCGAGAATTGAATATTTTGAGTGATTTAAAAGGAAATACAAATATAATCGATTTCATAGGCATTAGTGAAGGTAAATATCTTGTAGTAATAATCTACTTATTAGCTTGATC